AAAAAAAAAAATTAAACTTATCTGCTTCTTCAATTTTACATTAACAGGTGTTCCAGGTAGCTGATGTTAGAGCACAGCTTGGCTTTGCGTTCTTCTTAAAAACTATGTGATTTTGCATTTTTAAGAAATCCAGTTAGGAGTTTAAATATTTAAGGAAATATCCAATTGCTTTCTATAGAGCGAAGTGAGACTACTGTATTGAGTTGAAAATGAAAATGAGGGCCGACCCTGTGGCTCACTCGGAAGAGTGCAGTGCTGGGAGCGCCGAGGCCGCGGGTTCGGATCCTATATAGGGATGGCTGGTGCGCTCACTGGCTGAGCGCGGTGCACGCGACACCAAGCCAAGGGTTACAATCCCCTTACCGGTCAAAAAAAAAAAAAAAGAAAGAAAATTAATCCTGTGGACTCACAAGTAATTGTTTAAACATGGTTAATTTCTCTCACACGAAAACTGCAATATACAGTGATAGTTCTGACAGATATCACTTGAAATAACTCAGAACCAGGGAGTAACTCTTGAAAATTAGAAAATCATTCCTAAGAATGGATTTTAATGATAATCATATTTCATATCTGGTGAACAGTGATTCAATTTGGGTCAGAAAATGTTGATTGTAAAGTAAACAGCAGAGTAACACTAGGATCTGGGAATTAGGAGCGTATCTTACAAAATTAGTTTACACACATCTACTGCTCCACCAAAAGTAATAATAATAATAATAATATTCCAAAGCATCAAGCCAGAAAGAGGAGTAGTGAAAATGTATTTGAAGATTCCCTTCTAGAATTTTCAAAAGGTTCTTTTCAAAATTCATCACCTTTAAGAACACTGGACTTTGCTCCTGGTTTGGATACTAAATTATAGGAGCACCATAATCATAGTTTTCTTTTTCCTGGTAGAATTTCACTAAAACAGCTTCAGAATCTGATGCAGATTAATTCCAACTCTGCCACTTACTAGTAGGCTCTGTAACCTTGGGCAAGTCACATCACCTCCTGGAGTCACATTTTAAAGAACCGCATTAGGACTACACGAGATCATTTGGGCTGAAAGCATGGAAATTAGTAGGCCCTTGCTAGAGGACAGCAAAGCGCGGTGGCAGGGTGGACATGGCACTGGCTCATGGGTCAGCAGACCTGGCTTGCAAGCTTGCAAATGTAGCCTGCAATAAATCTGTTAATCTCTTTGCCTCAGTTTCGTCATTTGTAAAGTGGGAATAACACTATGCCTCACAGATTTATTATGAATATTAAATGAGATATAAGTGGTGAAATGAATTAAGCTACTAGCACAGTGCCCAAGTACAATGTGGACATCTTCTCTATATCAATGTCCTTTGCCCCACCCTTCATAGTAATGCTTTTCTGAGAAATATATGCAGCAGAAAAAGCACAGAGAAAGCAGAGAAAGAATGCAGGAAAAACACAATTGAATGTGCCCAGTAGTAATAAAAACACCATTTACTGAGGTAAGGGTTACTGAGTTTCTTACTCTTTAAGTGTTTTACATAAATAATCTTATTTAATCTTTACAAAA